CTGTTACATTGTGAAAACGAGTTTTCATTCAGACAGTGTTTGGGGGATATTTCACTTAATCAACACTGATGCTCTGAAGCGTATTATCCGCGCTGTTATCTGTTTCTATCTGAACTTTGTGAATGTATTTTTAAAACCGTCCCGCGGCCAGTGCATGAAGTTGTAACATCTGAGTGAACAGGCCGCATCACAGGGCGACCGGCCTGAGCCCCACCTGACTGAGGCCGTTGGCTCCGCCTCCAGAAGCCAAGGTGAGGGAAGCAATGACTTAATTATCTCTGTAATTTTGGCCACAGTCTTCGTCCTCAGCAATAGGAAACTGGCACCAGCAGCACAACAGAGAGTTGACGTTGTAAAAGTTTTGCGCAGATTATTGGGCTGTTTATTCAGACCATTTGCTTGAAGATGAACGCACTGTCACCTTCCTTCTTCTGAAATGTTAAAGCATGTAGGATGACCTTCGGCTGCAAGCCACAGAGAGCGCAATTAAAAGAGGTACTTATGACAGAGGTACTTATGATTTTATTTAACTCACATAAAAAATAAGTACCAAGGCGGAGGGCCTGCGGCTTCGCAGCAACAGCTTCACCTTCCTGCTCTGGTCTCTGATCCCCGCTCCATGACCCGTGGTGTTTCTTCTTATGGTTCTAGGAGGCCTGCTGCCCCTCCAGGCAGCTCCACGTTCAGGTTTTAAAAGGGGAGGAGACTGTTGCTGAGCAAGGGCCAAGTGCCAATCGCGCAGGGCGAATGAGCCCCGGAAGCCGCGCTCGGCGGTGCGCTGTGGTCAGCAGCTCGAGCCGTGTGGTCACACGTGTGAGAGGTCAGCTCTCCTGTTAAGGGTCCTGGTCACAAGGAAGAAGGAAAGAGGGAGGAGGGAGGCAGAGAGGGGACAGGAGGGGACTGCCTTTGGAGGTGGTGGGTACGTCCATCCTCCTGATTTTGGTGATGGTTTTGCAACTATTGGCACACAGTGAAATTCATCAAATTGTACCCGTTAATGACATGCAGTTCTTTGTGTACCGATTATACCTCAACAAAGCTCTTCTGAAGAAAAAGGAAACGAGGAGGCGTCCGAAGAGTCCTCCCCCTGAAGAATGCTTTTTACTTTTGAGAAGTCGAGGCCGCTAGCAAACTCTGCCGGCGTCTCGCGGTCCAGAGCTTGGCCGCGTGCCCGCGCCCGGCTTAGCTTCCCAGGCTCTGCGGCAGGGAAACAAAGGGGGAGGGGTTGAGGGGCTTTTGGAGGGGCAAGCCCCCTTCTCCACCGTCTTGTCTTCGTGTCTGTGACAGACAGTCATGTTGTGGGTTTATCGCCTCACTTTGCTGCCTTTCCACAAACAAAATTCCAGTAAGAAAACCCCTGATTGGTTTGGACCAGCTCACTAGCGCTGAGAGTCCCATGAAATGAGCCGGGGTGGCTGCAGCTTCTGGGCTCCCGCCCGCTGGCCGCGGGACCAGGCAAGACGCGTCAGGACTAGAAGCTTCCTTTCCTCACCTGTGAAAACGAGCCTCCGCCCTTGGTGGATTTCTGCAAGAACAGCCCTGACGCATCACTCCTTCCGTCTGAATTCCTCTTCCACGGAACCCAGGCTTCGCCCAGACGTTCTGGGGCCAGCGGGACATCAAAACACAGGACACCAGCAAACAGAGCACAGCTATGGGTCAGCTTGGCCGAGGGGCGAGGGCGGCGCCCGGGAGGAAGGACCTTTGCGGAAGACGGGCCCAGCTCCCGTGGGGCCCAGCCCCTCACCGCCGCCTGCAAGCTCACGCAGAGGACCCACAGAAGGTCCACGCGACGCGGGCACATTGCAAAAGTCAGGCGATGTTGGTTTCAGCCACGATGTTTGGTGGCATTAAAAGGAAGTTATTAAAAGTAACTGGTTTACACACCCATCTTCCGGTGTAGCTGCCGGGATGAAACACAGGGATTGTGGGACCCCAGGCACCAAGCAAGCACTCGAACATGCTAGTTATTATTATTATGACTATTGTTCTCCACGGCACAACGCAGACCCACAGAAACACCTGGCCAGTTATTGAAAAGAGTCCTCTGCAGAGACTTTCCTGTCACCTTCAATCTGTTCAGCATGGTGGGCTCTGGGGCTTCTCTTTGAGAAGATTTTATCCTGGCTGATACATTTAACATGAAGGAAAAACGCACTTCTTACCACAGGCTGTAAATAAACCATAGGAGACCCACCTCTGTGAAACGTAACACGTAAGCGAGCATTTAAGGAATCAGGAATCGATACAGGGTTTTGGAGGAAACTTCACGGGAAATGTATCTCTTGGTCACGATCGCTCCCAGAGGGAGCTGCTTACTGCTACTACTGGTATTTGACGTTTGTGGGGCGCGCCTTGTGTCCCAGGCAGGACGATAATCACTTACAGGTAACTGTAGATTTGTTTTTAATTGAGTTATAGTCAGTTTACAATGTTGTGTCAATTTCCAGTGTAGAGCACAATTTTTTTTATACATGAGCATATTCAGTGTCACATTCTTTTTCGCTGTGAGCTACCACAAGATCTTGTATATATTTCTCTGTGTTGTACAGTATAGTCTTGTTTCTCTAGTCTACGTATGCCTGTCAGAATCTACAAATTTTGAACTCCCAGTCTGTCCCTTCCCACCCCCTGCCCTCTTGGCAACCACAAGTTTGTATTCTATGTCTATGAGTCTGTTTCTGTTTTGTATTTATGTTCTTTATTATTATTATTTTTTAGATTCCACATATAAGTGATCTCACATGGTATTTTTCTTTCTCTTTCTGGCTTACTTCACTTAGAATGACATTCTCCAGGGACATTCATGTTGCTGCAAATGGCGTTATGTTGTCTGTTTTTATGGCTGAATAGTATTCCATTTTATAAACATACCATATCTTCTTTATCCAGTCATCTGTCGATGGTCATTTAGGCTGTTTCCATGTCTTGGCTACCGTAAATAATGCTGCTATGAACATTGGGGTGTGGTAATTGCAGATTTAATTCTCACCATAACCTTACAAGCCAGTTTCATCCCACCCTCCTTTGCTGACAATGACACAGAACGGGAGAGAAATTAAGGAATTCCCTGCTGTCTCAGTATTGCCCTTCAGGTAAGCAGCAGAGCTGGAATTTGATGCTAGGTTTGCCCAATTCCAGAGCAAATGCCCTTCTTCTTTGCCCAGAGGCTGGCCGAGAAATGAACTGTATTTAAACCCTAAGAAAACTCATTCTGAAGTTGACGAGGGAGCTAATTATTATTATGGTCACAGGTTTACCGTGACCTATGTTCTAAAAGTTCCTAAGTAGATGTTTCTGTTAATAGAAAGCTCTTTTAATGATTAAAAGACATGACTTACTTTCTAAAGGCAGAGGGTAGCACCAGCGAGCAGGCGCCCAGGGCTCCCTGCGGGCCAGGCTCTGGTCCCGTAGTGCTGCTCCCGTGGGGACGCGCTTGGCTCCCCCCAGCAACACAGGAGGGTGGGATCAACTACAGAAGAGGAAACTCAGTCTCCCAGTCACAGGGCCGCAGAGATGCTGCGTCAGGACTGGAAACCAGCCGCCAAGCTCTGCTGTGTCCGTGGAGCCCGAGTCCCCTGCTCAGCGCTCTTCCTCGCGGGACGGCGGACCTCCACAGAACCAGGGGGTGGACACGTGGACACGGAGCGACAGTCTCTGCAGGGGTCAGCCGCCATCTCACCGAGTTCTGGGAGGCAGCACTGCTGTCATCCCCCTCAAAGAAGAGGATTCCAGGGAACCGTGAGCGAGGATGGAGTGAGCGCGGAAGCTGGGGCTCGAAGCCGGGCACTCTGACCTAATGACAGACTCACCGCTTTTGGGGTCATGTTAACAATTGCATTAATAAAAGTTCCACCGGCACACAGGTTAGAGAAAGCAGCTGTTCTCACAGGCTTGCT